TTCTATCAGCTAGTGTGATCACATTATCAGCCCACATATCTTTGAGGTGGCAGCACCTTGTTCAGCAGCACCTGGACTCCTGCTGAGGGCTGACGTCCTGACATCCAGGAGGAGTCATGTTTGTGACCCAGAGGCCACGTCAAGGGCACTAACAATCTCCACTGATGCCATTGCCTTGATTAGTTATTCATTCTCCGCCCCCACCCACCACCCTGTAATGTATGCTGTAGTAATCTGGCTGGAAACGCTTGAGTTGAATGCCAGATGTTGTTTTTACTGGGCATTTATGGAAGCTGTCTGACTCGCCTCAGTGATGTCTTTCGCTTACATGCAGGGATTGAGGAAAACATTTCCTATGCCATTGTTTTTTATATACATATATCTCATATCTGCAAGCGGTGATAATTGGCTGAATTATTTAAGATGTCATGACCCAGTCAGGCTCAGTTTAGTTTAAAAGGCTTCTATAGTAAGTGATTTGTCATTTCCAACTGATCTGTCCAGACCTAATCATTTGTTCTCCTCTAGTTTGCACAGCTTGATGGGGTATATTTTCCAACCCTGTCGTATTATTTTTCTAGTTAATTCTACAATTGTGGAAGTCAGCTCTCCATTAAATGGTTGTAGGCATAAAACTCTGGTGTCTTTTGAAATGAGCTTTTATTGAAATGCTCAGAAAGGAAAAAGAAAACAGGGGTGTGATTGTAAATAACATGTTAGGGCTATACACTTCTCAGTATCTCATCCCCCCTCCGCCACCACACAATGTCAAATACAATTCAATTTCTGCCTCAGCATCAGCTTAGGCTAACACGGTCAAGCAAATGCCTATTTTCTGAATGGCCTGGGGGAGTTACGCTTTTCAGCTTATCAACTTTTTATTAACCTTAGCACTGAGGTTTGCTCTTTGATTTAGATTCTTTGTGAAACACTGAAATTGGATGGGGTTTTTTTCCGACTCAACCCCGCTGTGACATATGCTCAGCAACTTGTTACACAGTGGAGAAAAAACAAAATGCATGCTTTGGTTTGTTACTGGGAATATTTTATCACAAGAGCCAATAACGTCTCTAGTTTTATTCATTCTTTTGGAGTTTCCTCACCTACCACAGTGCTTTAAGGGCAAATGTGCATTAAATGTTGTAGCTGGTAGGAAATCTCTGTTATGAGATGTAGAGTTACAAAGTAAATAGTTTTCTTTTAAGGATAAGTGATGAATGATCAGTGTTCCTAAAGTATGGAACCATGGGAAAATATAACAGGGTTGGAATATTACTGTTTAATGGTCTATCCATTGGTTATAGATATTGGTTATACATATTTAAAACAGCTATAATCAATATTTTATGTTAACAATGGATTACATAACAACTTGTATGTAAAAGGGGCTGTAAATTGAGATGAACCCACAGAAATTATCACCCAACTCTGCAGTTCCCCTCAACCCAACAGAGCTTCATATATCTCACTGTTTTGATTTCTGGCCTGCAACTTTACTGTTTTGGTTTATTCTTACTGTTCTCATAGCATTGTTTATGGACACAGCAGGCAGCTGTTTTCAGCAAAAAAGCTTTAAAACCCACTGAGCACTACATGCTGAGCACCAAATGACAGACACAGTTAGCAACTAGCTGGTGAACATAGTGGAGCGTTTAGCAGCTAAAGAGCCTGATTTTTCTTTAAGTAGTTGGTAGAGACCAAAACAGAGCTAAAAGAAAGTGAATAGTGGGCTTAGATTTGCCAAGTGGTAAGAAACGCAGCTCCAAATGAATAATAAGGTTGCTCCATGCCTACTGGATGGGGAAGTGGACAACTGTTTGCTAGTAAGTTCACCATGTCAGAGGATAATTTATCAGTGTTGTGATTGTACACTGCCCGCAAGAGGCCAAAATAGTAAGTCCTGCTGCTTTAAATTTGTCCTCAGAGGTTTGGATTGGTGAATTGGTCTAAATACTACAGTATTCAAGAGCTTTAGCAGCTGTTTTAGCATATTCAGAGCATTATGGTGTTGCAATCACAAACAAAAGACTGCACCTTTAGTTGTTGGTCTCATCCAGAATTGACTCTGATCTGACAATGAACTGATTAAAAGTGCTGAATGTATTATTATGGTATTGGTAATGTATTAGATGCACAATACGGTTTCTCATTGTTTGTACTAATGATTCAAATGAAAGAGCTTTGTGTCCATCCAAGCCTCAAGTGACCCAAAGCCCACTTTAGGCCTCTATTTATAAGAAGGTAAAGATAAAGACTGAATGTAGAATAAGCAGTTTAGCTTATAAGGAAATAAGGAAAATAAAGTCTATACAGCATACAGAAAATACTCACATACTGTGGCTGCACAGACCATTTCTAAACTAGGCCTGCTAGGCTCCTGTCACATACAGTGTCAAGGAAAACAAAGTGTGAAAACTGCCCTTTGCATGAAGTGTGTATTTCCTCTTTCATATTGGTTGGCAAGATATTGTAGACTCCCGCCCCCCTGACTGGGCTCTGGATTATTAGCTTAAGCTCTCTAAAAATATCCCTTTGACTGTTTAAGCCTCTGACAGCAGCAACATCTCACACATTCTGATAGCTTTATACTAACTATGGCTGCAGAGGGCTCATGCACTCAGCCCGCCTTGTTATCTTTTACCTTGTTTGCCCAAGGAGGAGAAGGAGGAGAACTTTACAGGCCCCCGAAATCTGCAACAGTCCTCTCTCCTTCGGAATCAGACATGGAGCGGATCATCAAAGGCAAGCGTGCAATCACAGCAATCTCCGAACAAACGAGATGCTTTTTTGAGCACGAGAGGATTTTGCCCAGATGTCACTCGAAGCACTTGTCATTGTTGCGACAGCTGTAGAACCACATGGACCGTCATTTGAAAAGCATCTACCGCGACATACCAAAACAGCACACGTCAAATATGAAACATACAGAGCCTGAAACATAAGATTTTTGAATATTAATGCTGTAAGCCCCTTAAGGAATTGTGACTTTTATTTTCCAGTTTTATTGGCTTGCTTGTGTAGTCCCAGTAATTGCATATTTACCACCATGCAGTATTTATCATACAAATATATTGGGTTTAACTGAGCTTATAGTACCAAATATTTTTTAAGTTGGCATTCATAACAGCTCATAGAAATTAATAAATTCCTGAAAGGGATTACACTGTACACATGTGGCTCATAGACATTGCTTCAATTATCTTTTCTTCTTACACCCACACTCTCTCGAAAGGCTTTTCTCACAAATATTATAGCTGCTAACTAGAGAGAGGCGGAGGGCGAGATAGAGGCATGTGCCGCTCAACAGCGCTATTGTTATTCCAGCCTTCATTCATGTGTCTCTTTTTAAATGCGTTGAGATGAAATATCACTGTTTTGACAAGACGTTTTCCAAGCTGCTCGTGTCCCTGTGAGATGCCTCGTGCTGGTTGGTGATGGAACGTTCCTGAGGGGGAAAGGTCAATATGTGGTTGTAAATAAATTAAAACAGATTTGAGACCCAAGCCTTCAATAGATTGAAAAGGCAAAAGGAAGAGAAAAGAAGACTACTCACCTTTACTCATTATAAAACTGCCTCTTGGCTGCAGATGCTAATTGACTAGCCTCTCAACCTTTGGTGTGGGTATGGATGAAGTGTGTGTTTGCAGGGGGGTGATGAATTGACATATTGTTGGTGCTGTGATGTTGATCCAAGGCAGAGAGCCATGAGGCTTTCCTCCAGGGACCGGTAACCTTATTGTTCCATGTCATCTCCTCCCCTTCTGTTTGAGGACCAGGTTGTCAACCTCTCCCCAAGGTCACGCAAATACCGGCCCCCCTTCTGCAGATAATTGGATTATTTAGAATCATAGCACCAACTTATTGCCCTGTCTGGGGTCAAAAGTGAATTTAGTGCACAAGGTTGTCTGTCATGCTTTGTGGCATTGTTTTGAACTGACAAGAAACAGCTTCTGTCACCAGTTAAAGGATCCTACCTGTGGTTACACATGTTTTGGCCTCTTCACTACAAATCACATGTTAGACATCACAGCTAAATATATTGCAAACCATTGCAATGTGTGTTTTAAATTTTTGGATGTATTTTCCCTATACAACACCTGTTGTTTTCCATTCATTTCTGTACAATGCAAGAAATCAATTACCAGACCGCCTCCACTCACACAGTTCCAGATATCCTATGATTTCCATTAATGTCTGACTTGAAACATGTTCCAAGTTCCCAAACTTTTTGTTTAAGCCCAACAAATCATGTGGAACTTAGATTTTTAGTGGCAGACAACAATGGAAATGTTTGTTTGCATTCATTTTCGTACAATATAAAAATCCAAATCTGTATAGTGTACTCTGTAATCTGGTAAATTAATTTGAGAAGTTGGCATTGCTTTACCACACAACAATAAAACAACTTTACCAAAAAGGCAAATTATGCAGACTTGATGTTCACTGTGATTAGAAAAAATTAATAGTATGCTAATAAACTGTGTATATTGTCTGGAAATTAATGGAATATATATAGTGATTGTGGTATATCAAAATTACAGCATCTATTTGAAATAGTTAAGCATTAATGTAACATGCTTTGTCATTAAATAGCAAAAACTTGATCCTTGGTATGGGCTTTAAAGTACACCTGTTCGGAGACTCAAGAAACATATTGTGTGTGTTGAATGCCTGCAGTGTTGGGGATTCCCACATACCAGCACATATTCATGGTTTCATTGGTGGTTTCATGGCCGGGGGATGACGTGGTGCTATGTCATGCTGCCATGGTAAGATGAGATAACATGGGGCAGCAGATTAAATGGGTGGGCTGCATGCCTATTAAATCAGGAGTTGGCAGAGAAACACTAACTCAGGTTACTTATTCTCAAGTGACATGGCTGCACATGTGATGAGCGAAGGCAGGCGAGATGTCTTTACTTCGTCTGGAGTGTGACATTCTGCTCTGTTTGTGACTCTGTAATTAACTGCTTATTTGTGTGTGTGTTTTTCTTTTCTAGGAGGCGGCCACATTTGCCAAAGTGCTGGGCTTTGAGGTGAGTTGACCAGCAGTTGCACACTAAACAGATCCTAAAGGTTTATTTTTGCTGATAATGAAGTTCTTTTTGGACAGTGATTGATGTGCTATTATACTCTCCAGGCCTTGCAGCAGTTGCTATGGAAACCTGGCAGTCGTCATGGTTTCTTTGTTCAGCCAGCTCTCTGTTATGACGCACTCTGCTAGGTCTGCACCCAACATCGCCTACAGATGTTATTTATTGAATTTTGAAAAGCCTCTTGGGAAGCTGAGAAGTTGGGCATGGTTTCAAGCCTTTCTCTGCAGGCTTGGGGCTCATCAGGTTGCCTGGTTAAAAAGCCTCCTCATTATCTTCATTGCACTCAGGGATGATACTGTATGTCTTCCCTTCACTGCTTTACACTGAATCACACTGTAGTCTTTTAATAACCAAATTACAGCCACCTGTGGTTTTAGATTATGGAAATGAAAATTACAGTGCTTGTAACCCCATAGAATGTACACTATGTGTTTCAAAGTGGGGCTGCCTCTTCAGTGAACGTTCCTTTGGTCTAAATGTTGCTTGTATTTTGCATATTCCTCGCGCTGCTTTTTAAATGTGAAATCAAAAACAACAAATAGCTGGTGTGTGTGTGTTGAGTTTTTTCAAATGGGTTCAGGTATTTTAAGTGCCTTCTCTCTTTCAAAGGTAGAGCTGCCTTGAATATGGCTCTGCACTGTGTGAATAATTGTCATCCAGAATCACTAACGGTGTGATCAACGTGACTGGAATAGAAATGCAATCCTGATGGCAGTGACAGGTTTAAGAGAGGAGAAGGGATGAAGGCAGGAAGGGTTGGGAGGGGCTGGTAATAAGGGAGGGGGGGGGGGCTCGCATAAAAAAAAAAACAACACAAAGGCCAAAGTGTAGACAGTCCTAGTAGTTACAATTCTTTGACATTTTCCATGTCAACCTGATTTGCCAGAACACTCTGCAAAATTGCGTTGGATGAATGTGATTTCTCAGATAACATCACTAGTATGTACTGTACTTACTGCATTTTTAGACAGATCACAGTTGGCTTTTTGTTCTCTTGTCACTCTCTCATGACAATTTTACCTGCCCCCACACTGGCAAGACTTCAAAATATGTCCTACATGTGAAATATGAACATCTTCCATGCAGATTAACCCTGATATAAGTATAATCAGTACAATAAGGATAATTTTCCAACCCTAATATACAATATGTGAAATATGTATAAAATCATATACAATAAGTAAACATCACAAGATTCATTACTAATCATAGAAACAGTTGTTTGATGAAAGACATCCGGACTGGACATTTTCCAGAGCTTTCAGCCATATCCCATGGCTTTCATCAGCAGAGGGAGTTTGTTATGGAGATCATTAAAGGATGATCTCCATGACAACAAAACTCCATCCTCTGAGGAAGGTCACAAGACGTAACCGAAAGCTCCGGAAAATTTCCAGTAAGTGGATGAGCTAAGAATTTTTTTGTCAAATTAAATTCAATTAACTGTATGTAATTAGTTTGCATTATATCAAACTATGGGTAACTGAAAAAAAGACAGCAGCACTTCTTCAGTGTAAATACAAGATAAAATACTTCTCCTCTGCAAAACAACAATCAGGGGATCTGAACACAGCCGCCTGATTGTGATCTGTTTCCTTTAAATGCTCAAAGAACTATCTGCATCGCAGCTCTAATTGAATCTTTCCCTGGCTGTGTTTCTCAAACAGCCTGCAGTGGAGATGATCACTTTCTCACCGGCTTCAACACAGAAACACAGTTTAGCGCCAATGTAAAGCTTTTATATTTCACGGATTGTTGATTTATGTGTGATCAATTGCCGCACAATCATAAATATTGCCATTTGTCAGCAGGAAAGTAAATTGCCCATATCATTTGTCAATTCATTTGTTTTGCACTTGCGTTATTTTTCTGCATTCGTTTGCCGTAGGAGCTTATGTCAGGTAAGTGTTTCTGCCAGGCAAAGAGGAGGAACTTCTCTGTGTGTGATTATGTGTTGATGTGAGCGTAGCTTGCCCTGTTCAACAGCCATGATGCTTACCCCTTCCACCTCTGGCCCTTAGAACCTTTTAGCTCCTAAACCTGAGTAGAACGGGTATTTTATGTCAGCGAACATAAAACCAAAGGGTGACAATGTGCCGAAGCCTCGTGCGGTTTCGCATTCAGTGTCTGGAGGAGTGCTTGTGGTTACATCCAGTCACAGTGACAGATTGCCTTTTTTTTCTCTCCGCCATCGCCTGCTAACAGCCTCTGTATTAACCTCACCATTAGCACTTACTTAGAGTGTTACACCCATTTTTCCTCAGCCCAGGGTCTCCCTGGACCTCTCAGGGCTGATTAAAGGACATTTGGGAAGCATTTAGAGGTGTAAAAGCTCATTGGTTTGAGTGAGCCAGTGTGGCTGGTGGTATTGGAGCCTATCTCTCTGATTACTCCCATAACCACAGTATTTGCTCGCCCTGAAGGTGCTTGAGTTTTAGCTTTGATACAGATGCTAGAGGCGTCTACGACCCTTAATGCTAGCTCCTCAGTGTGCTGTATTACGGAAAAGCAGAGTCCACCCCCACTGTGAGACGGCGATAAAGACATTCCACCTGCTCATAGTACATCATGATGAGTTAATAATAAAGTAGCACTGACAGGTGTGGGTTTTTTTATCCCTCTCATGATCAAAGGCAAGCACTCTGGAGAGTTCTGTCGTCTCCAGGCGAGAATATCCATTCTGTGCAGATGCTGAGGAGAGATGGCCTGTTTCAGGATGAGAATGATACAGTACACGCACCACCTATCTCTTCAGCTCACAGAAGTAGCTTTATCTAACAACAGCATATCTTTACGCACTTATTTTCATCTCACTTAGGGAATATGACATTCAAATATTTTACAGCTCTCCTGTAACTGCACAGAAACATCATTGAGCGCTCCTATTGATCTCTTTTTCGAAAAAGGTTTCATAGCCCATCTGGTGTCATAATCACTTGATCTGTCTGCCAGGATTGTAAAGATCTGACCCCCCTCTCACACATGTGACCTTTGATTAACTCCTCAGAAATTGCTCTATGATGCATTCATTCAACTTAAAATACTTATTCAGTGGTCTGGATTTTTTTTACAGACAGATGACATTGCGGAGATTGCAAAAAAGAGCCAAAACCTCCCCAAGGAGAACACGAAGAGGCAGCGAGTGGTGGTCTTCACCCAGGGCAAGGACGACACCGTTGCGACTGTTGGTAGGCCATTTTTGTTTTTCTTTCTACACTTATTTCCACTTAAGTTACTCTAAAAGGCATCCCAACTTTGGCCCCTTTTGGACATCTTTACCCTTCACTTAAACCTCATATCTCAAAACTGCAGAACGCAGCCCTTAAATAGATAGATCGCTGACTGAAAAGAGCAGAGTGCTATCAGTAATTTCTTTGAAGTTAACCTGCAATATTGACACCAGATGTTAAAAAAAAGAATGCTTGCACTACATTCTGTCATTTCAGAGCATAAAAGAAGTGTGGGGGATGCAGAGAGCAGTCATTGATTTGTGAAGTACTTCTAACTTTGTCTTGGACAGACTCCAGGCCGGTCCTCAGCAATTTTTAATGCTTCAACTCTTACATCCTGGCCTTTTTTTCCTGCAAAATGCTTGCAGAGTGACCTTGTCGAGAGGGTTGACAGTGTTGGTCCTTAAATCCATCAAGTTTCCTTTGATTGAGGGCATATTTGTTAGTGGGACATTAAAAGGCAGTGTCATCATAACCGAGCAAGGGTTGAAGGTTTAAGCGCTGTGGAGAGAGACGATAGTTTCCGATTACTGCTGGGAGCCTTTGCCTTTGTTTGGAGCCACAGGGGTTCTCTCCTCGTTGCCCTTGGAGTTCAGACAAGTTGTGCACGGGGAGAGATGGCCTCAGGTAAAGACTCCAACATATCACCTATCACTGGGGACTGCAGAGGAGCACAGCTACAGCAGGGCTGTTAGCGCTGCAGGACACTCTTCACATGTGTCCACTGTCCTCAATTTCAAACCGCTGGCAAGAGTATTTACGAGCAAGAGCTTTGTACAGCATGTCACTGACGGCATTATTAAACAATCAATAATTAATCGTGTCCTTTCTGTAGTTTCTATTGTGATGTGTGCTGCCATTTTGGCCACGACTCTCAAGAGACTGTCTTGGTATAATAAAGGTTAAAGTGGCTGTAATCAATATTTATATATTAACTGATGAAATAACTGTGTGTGATGTGAAAGATGACGCTCGTAGTGAGAAACTCTGCAGTTCTCCTCATGTTTCTCATTTTTTCAACAAATAGGCAGGTACACACAAAGTTAGCATAGTGGAGCATTTAGCAGCGAAAGAGGCAAATATTTTCCTCAGGAGTTGGCAGAAAACAAAAGTAAAAGCTAAATACTGGTGAATATTGGGCTGATGTATCAGGTGCGCACAAACTTTAAAACAACAATTTAAAAATAAGATAATGTCACCATGATATCTCTCTGTGATTAGTTGTAAAGATAGGTAGGGAGACAGGTAGACAGAGTTGCGTGATATGGTTGAAGTTAGTATCACACTAAAAGAATACTTTTGCAATAATAGTACACAGCATGCCAAATGTATGCAAAATAACATAAAAAAATCTAACTGATGTTCAGTGCAGTGAACTGTGTTCCACTACTAACGGACACACAGATTGGCCGCATACATTGTCAAAGTAGAATTCCTGGAAGTACATTTCCTTTCATGAGAATTTGAAAAGAAATCTTTAAGCAGAAGACCGACGGCTAAAAAAGAACAAGAATCCATCCATTGTGCTGGAGGTGATGGATAATTCCTGCCTGCTTCTCTCATTGCTCCTGCATGAAGACAGAGCCGTGCGCCGCTGTGAACTTTATATAAAATACATGATGAATGCAGGCGGGATGAAAGACAATGTGTTTCAGATGTCATCTACAAAGGCAAACATGATAAATGTCATTGACTGTGCTATCATTGCAGAGGAGCAGTTACAGTAGTCGGTGCTGCAGAATTGGTGTGTGTGTGTGAACATTGCTATTCATACCAGCCAAATAAATGTCAATGTAAAAAGAGAATTAAAGATTTTCATTTCCCAGAGGCGGCGCTCTAATAAACTTGATCTCTCATTTTGTTTGCAATTTGTCCTCCTGTCAGGATTTGATCATTTGCCAGCCTCTGCATGTCATGTTAAACCGTTTTATAGTGATTAAGGATGGGAGAATGCCTTTCCCCCGTGGTATAATTCTCCAAAAGGAGATGTCAATTTGTTATTGTTCTTTTTTTCCTTGCCCTTCATTTGGCGCCTTTCATCACACCACCGCTTCAAACGTGCCTTTTAAGAGCTGGGAGCAGGGGCAATGGCCCTTTATTTAGCTGCCACTGACACTGCTGAACTACACTGGGCTTTTGCTTATACACCCATTAAAGCGGTAATTAAGATCATTGTGCCCTGAACCTTAACAGTGAAGAGATCTAATAAACAATCATTCAGCGGGGGTCGGCGCTGTAATCGCTGATAAGGACTTGATAAAGCCTGACTCGGCTCCTCTGTGTGTTTTAGGGCTCTCAAGGGGGCCAAGCAGGCAGATTTCTACCTTGAAAAAAAAAAAAAAAAAGACCTGATCTATACGTGTTAATCACATGAGGCAGACTGAGGAGTGAAAACTGACTACAAGGCAAAAGGCTGTTTTTTTGAAGCAGGTTTATTTGTCATTCCTTCAAAGTTACACTAGATTAAACGTTGCAGAATTATCGAAAGGCCTACATGGAGACATCTTAATAGTCTGTTTAAAAAGCGGAAAGTTTATGTTCTATACTTCATGATAGACTAAACCAATTAACATCCTGCGCTATGAGAAAGGCAGCCTCCCTTCTACCTTGGCATCTCCCGTTGAAGTGTTTTCTTTCATGTCTCCCTGAAAGGATATTGGTTGGCGATGATCTTTTGCCTGTGGTTACAGTAATTACAGGCATATGTATTTTTTTTTTCTAATTCAATTGTGAACGAAGATGCTGGTTATGATAGGGAAACAGATTGAATGTCAACTTGATCCTAACCTGTCTCGTTTGCCAAGAAAGCGGTAACGTTGTTTTCCTCTCCGAGGCTCAGAGTTTGGCTAAAACGCAACAGGAAACGTTCCAGAAGAAGTATTCTCTGGGAAGTTTTCTCACATAAAGATGTTGTACTTAAACTCTACTTTAGCTCATGCCTTTTAGCTAAATAGTCATGTGTAATTCCCAGTTACTTAGCAGCTCAGGATTTAAAATTATGTATTAATTGTTTTGCTTGTGTAGATGATAAAGTGTGACAGGATCAAAGTTAATTTTAATGACCTGCCAACTATTTGATCTAGCTGCTTTCTGTCAAAGCAACAATAGTGAGCGCTGGAACACAACCAAGGGAAGCGTGTAATAATTTCAGAGGCTCCATATGCTCATTTTCCAATAAAGCGGAGGTCGTCTTATTTGCATGTACAGTAGGGGTTTTTTAAAGGAGAGGATTTTCTCAGTCAGTGTTGTGCTGTGAATTGGCATTGTTAAAAAGAATTGCCAATAATAAAGGACTTAATTGATACTCATTTCAAAGAGACGCCTGTTGAAAGAATTTAAGTTTAATCACCACCATTCAAGAGTTGTAATGAGGGAATTATGAAGGGTGAATTAACAAAAGCACACAATTATAGCTTACTCGAAGGAAGCATTTCAATTCCTTAGACTTTTTTTCTCAGTGATTTTTATTCTCTGTTGCAGGTTACCTGTCAAAGCAGAGCCATACTACTCTCCCACGTATGCACCACCAATCTGCTGCTTCACTCATTTTGTCAAACCAAACTCTTGGAACAAGAAAATGCTGGAAATCGGGGGGAAAAAAGTACAGCAGAGTTTTATTGATTGAAAATAATGTTGCAGATCTCATTATAGTGAAATGTGTAATAAGTTCAACAAAGTGAAGTTTTCAGACGTTGTACAAGCCAATAACAACAGAGTCAGGGCATTTTGGCAGGAGTTGTTTTTTTTTGTTTGTTTTTTTTTTACAAATTGGATCTTTGTTACAGACGGCTGGGGAATTGTTGGACTGTAACCCGAGTTAACATGTCAGTCAATTTTAATAATTTGCATCAGTGAGGTTATGTGAACCCTCCCTTAGCAGCAGAGTACAAACTTTGGCCGGGATGATAGAAGAAAGAGAAAAACTGGATGTCCATTTTGCCATGCTTCTAGAAACAGTGCTCAGAATGTTTTGTAATTGCCATAAACAACATTATGCCACCCACAGTGAGCTGATCAGTCAGAAATGTTAAAAGAGTATGTCTCTTTTCAAATTCACATGTTCACATATACACATTTTACTAACAAATTTAAAAACATCTCTATTGTCATATTCAAAAAGGACCAAAATATCAAGGTACAGACAATTAAATGTACCTGTTGAGCAGTCAGTTTGTTTGTGATTTGTGGCTTAAATTAATGATTTTTTGCAATAAATTGGGGTGATCCAGGGTCTAAGGATAGAGTATGTTGTATGTTTTACAGATTTAAAGCATATATATATTTAAACAACACTAAAAGTCTACAGTCAAGCTACTCTGTGAGGCAGTGCTTTGAGCTAAAGTAAATGTTAACATGCTCACAATGACATTGCTAACATGATGATGTTTAGTATCTAATGTGTACAATTTTCGACGCCTTAGTTTAGAGTGTTAGCATGGTGACATTTGTTGGTTAGCAATAAACACAAAGTCAGCTTAGGCTGATGGGAATGGAATTAGTTTTGTCTGGACTAAACTGGTGGTTTGACCAACATTGCCATACTTAGAGCCACAATGCTAGCATTGCTAAAACTTGCAAGCCAGCTGTAAAACAACATGATTACTTGAAGAACTTTCTTGTAATCGTGATACTGTATCTAAGTTCCCATGAAACTAAAAATGGATCAGCAAAGCAAAATTGTTTCCGACTTTACAAGGTCGTTTTTACAGACTGAGGATTTTTATATGACTTTAGTTCATTAAGTAGTTCCAAATTCAGATTATTTTGTGTAGAAAAAAATGGGGATTGCTAAAATTGGCAAAATAAATACTAGTTTGGTTTTGTTTTTAGTTTACAAAATGGGTAGTTTTTGTGGAAAAATTGAAAAAGATGGCGACTTTGGAGTGTTCGAGTGAAAGAAATAAATGGAAAAAACAAACAAAAATCAGCCAAAGAGCTAATAAGACGCAGCATAGGAAAGAAATAACAGCTCAGTGCATTGTTCGAGTACAATCAATCAAATTCCCAGTGAATATAAATGATGCAAATCCAGAACTGTTAATTGCCACAACATAGCAATAGGTCTAACAAATTCAAAGTTGTTCAGTGAATTCTGACACCTCTAGATGTAGTGTTATCATTAAGATGAGCGTCACTTCATGTGAGAGGTTTCCTGGTTGAAAACTAAACTAAAGACCTGGCTACTCCTGTACCACCCACACTGGAAAGAGTACCCATTTTAGGTATCGTAAACATATTTACACAGTTATTTATACTTGATTTCTCAAGGCTAATGAACTGCAGAACCTGTGCTGAACAAGTGCAGCAGCTTCAAATTTTAAAGCATCCGCTTTTATAGCCCCAAAGTGCATCGCATAGGCACAACCACATTTAACGACATGAGTTTCTCAACTGTGGAATAACTGACAAACTGTAATTTATTGTTAGCACATTTTCCATTGAGGTTAATCGTTTCAAGAGGGAGGAGGATTGTCAGGCTCCTTCTGTGGCATTAATTATACAAAGTTGTTATGCTGCTAATTAGCTGATCCTAAAAGGATTCTTGTCTTATTGTAATTTATTATCAAAGTGACAATCACCTGCTATTCTTATAAAAGAGAAAATGTGTCATTATGAAAACACAGTAACTCTTTATCTGATACATCTTCAGTACCTGACTTGTAATATAGTTGCCTATTACTCAGTAAGATGTCACTTTTACCACAACTTGATGAAGTTTCTCCCACAGTCAGTGTATTAGAGTAATTTCCTTGACATCATATGTTGAGCATATGCTCCGCTGCAGGTTGTGTATTTTCTGCCCTGTAGGACAAGGACAGAAATGTATTCAAAAATTAATAAGGTGCGGTGTCTTATCTGCTGCGTAGATATTCTGTGAGCCATTGTTAGATTAGCAGGGAGCCTCATTAAACAACTTTTTTGTAGTTTTTTTTTTCTCATGTTCTCCTTAAACTCCAACCTTTTTTTCTCAATAAGAGATCTGTCAGCCTCCTTGTGTTCCTTTTATCCACATGTCAGTCTTTTGTCTCCTGCACCTTTTTGAAGGTTCACGTCGGCACCAGAGCCCTCGGATTGTTTGAAGATTGTGTGTGTGGATTAGATTGTTCTGACATAAGTTGCTGATTTAATGTCACTCTATACCTCTAGACTTTGTCATCTGGTAGATTTTTGTTCCTTTTTTCCCTCCCCTTTAAACTGGAAGTCTCTTTGTAGTGCATATGCTACTGATAATTGAAGCAATATAATCCACTGAAGATGATAATAATGAGACCCTCATTTAATGGGTTTCCGTTTTGAACTGAAATGACTTACAGTAACGGTTCTTGCATTGTTTTTAATGAATTAGAGCACTCACCTAAAGCGTTTGAGATGTTTAGAGTTTCTGCATGTAATCAAGTTATTCCTTAGTGTAACCTCTAATTTACCTAATAATTTATAATGAAATAGTTTTAATCATTTTAATAAAAAAAGATCATCATAATTAGTCTGAGGTTTATGTAATTTATCAAGCAAAAATGCCAAACATTCACAGCTTCTCAAATGCTAGGAGTTGCTGCTTTTCTTGGTTTTAAATCGCTGTAAATTAAACACATTTGGGTTAGGCATAAATATTTATCCAAAAAATAGTCAGTTGATTAACAAGGTTTTAAGTCTATAGCCATGCTAGTAACCTCACAGAACTCCTATGGGTTTAGGGTGTTAGCGTGCTAACATTTGCTTATTTGCACTGAGGAATCTCATTTGTTTTGAAGGTATTTGGTTGTAAACCAAAGTCTACAAAGAAAATGTTTGACTTAAGGATAAAGTTAAGGGATTGCCAACATAGTTGTTCATCCTGAGGGGGAGACTAACTTTACCAAATTCCATGGCAATGCATGCAATAGTTGTTCAGCCATTTTATTCCAAAAGCACAATGTTGACCTCATGGTGGCGTTATATTAAAAATCAGGTGTGATATCTTTGTCTGGACCAAAGTGGTGGACGCTACTAGCGTGGCTAGTAGATCTATATCTATAAAATGACTGCAATTTCTGTTGTGTTTTTTGGATTGCTCGCTCGTTTCAAATTCCTATATTTGTTTTTTAGAGGGTGTTTTGAGATTTCAACCTTGTGTGGTTCATAGCTTCCCAAACTTTAAAAAGTGTTAGCAAATATACAGCTTTGGTAACCATAATGATGCTAAGAGACATTTCCTGCCCTATTAATGCTGAACTTTGACTTCCTTGATGTCTAGCTTTGAACAGTTACTCAACAATAATTATGTAGTACTTGTGTAATGTAAGTCATAATCTTTCATTTTACATGTGTTTAACTTGCCAAAATATAATGGCATGCTGAAGTGCTTAAATTACAAACTATTCCCAATTAGAACAGAGCCTTGCTCTGTGAAATGACCCCTTATTTTTTACATCAAGTTACAATTAAAGTAAGTGATAAAGTAGTAAGTAAAAAGCCAAAACACTGGTGTTCAACTTTAATGAACAGCCCTCCTGTGTCTTGATCACAGGTGAGAGGGTGACCATGTTCCCTGTTTTGGACATCGACCAGAACGATATTGTGGACACTAACGGAGCGGGAGACGCCTTTGTGGGAGGTAAGGCATGAAAAACATCTTCTACACAGCTTGATTTCTGTGTACATTCCCAATTAACCTTTGATACCGGCCAACTATGCAACGTAGTAATATCTCCAGATTAAATGAGTGTGACATTTAGCCTGCTGTCTTTACTCTGTATGAGCTTATCATAGCACGACATAAAACAGTCATCATTGGGGTCCTGTTGAGGATGAAGCAAGAAAAAGAAAGTCCTTTTCTCCAGAAATGATTACTACCTGGATCACATTAATGTTAACTGATCCCCTAAAAATTTTGGAGCTGATGCATACAGGTTGACATCTGCTCTTCTGTCTATCCAGGATTCCTCTCGGCATTGGTCCAAGAGCATGTGTTGGAGGAGTGTATCCGAGCTGGACACTACGCCGCCAATGTCATCATCAGACGGGTTGGATGCACCTTCCCAGAGAAGCCAAACTTTCACTGACGCATCCATGCGCTGCGCATTTGTCTTCTCCACAAGATACTTGTATATGTATGCTTTAGGATATTATGTACATTTTTTTTCTATATACAGTAACTGCCTGCAAGTGCTGCAGCTTGAATATTTTATCAAGCTCGAATAAGCAACTCAGACATTTTAATACAACAATGTACTAGTATCAAATATTTGAATGATATGGTTATGTTTAAAGGAGTATTCCACTGAAAATCTGTCTTTTGAGTATCATAAACGCCTGTAGGCATGAAAAGTGTGTGTATGTGTGGGGGGGGTTCATTGTATCACCATATGTGTAAAAACGTCACCACTGATCCATATGTTCTATATGTTTCCAACACTCAGGATCTCCACAACAGACCTAAACACTCCAGTTCTGTGTCCCAGTATCACCACCTCATAGCTTTGCTGGAAGTGTTGTATTCAGTGATTTATTTTCCAAGCAAAATGAAACAGTGGTGGAGAGGTGCATTATACTGCATGATAGGTTTGAAAGGTTTCTATGGATGTGTGGCTCTGAAAAGTTTATTATTTGCTCCTTCATGAAGGACAGCAGCTTGTAGTCAGTTTTGAGTTACAGACGTTATAGTTGGCTGTAATGGTGACCCAGTCATGGCCCAAAAACACTTCATAACATCCATAGAAACTTCTCAAAGCATACCTGCTGCATCATAATCCACTTCTCCCCTGTTGTTTGGCATGCTGAGTATTTTCAGATTTCACTTAGCCAATAAATGGCTAAATACACTATTCTCTATTGGAGCTTCTGGGCGATGTGCTGGCAGTAGTGTGACACAGAAGTGGTGTATTTTGTAGTGTAAACTATGGGTGCCATTTTTCATGCAAGTTACAAATATTTCACAGCCTTCTTTCAAGCCTGCAGGGGGTGAGTGTTGTGATACTATATACTATTAAGTATAGTACAATTTCAGCTGAGTATTCCTTTAATATTCAGCTGTCATGCTGCAGTATTTATGGATGGGGCGCCATTAAGAGTGGCCTCCCGTTTCCAAAAGTGACAGTTTTAACGGGACGAAGCTGGAAAGAATGTTTTTTGTTATTACACAAATAAAACAATATAAAAGTCATTCTACCAAGATACTCTTGTTCCGAAGTTGTCATATAAGATTTATTTTACCAGCTAATTAAATTTCTTTAAATACTCCCAAAGACAAAAAACAGTGTTCTAACACAGGGTTTGTCTATTTCCCCGTTATTTAATCAGCCAGAGGCTCCCTCATGCTAATCGCTTTTGGACAGCTCAACACCCTCCATTATGGACGGGACTGGGAGGGGACCTGGACCAGCCTCATGTCCTGGCCCTGCTCGGTCACCCACACTCATGTCTGTTGGGTCCTAACTTGGACTCTCTGGGTCTGGAACCGCATTTCGGGGCTACAGGAGATAATTTTTCTCAGTTAAGGGATTAGCACTTGCTCTTCTTGGCGATCATTAGAGGGACCTGGAAATTAGGCTGATCCTTCGTTCCCAGCTGTGCTGTCGCTGGGGGTTGGAGACTAGGATCAGAGGGAGGCCCCTCCCCTGCCACCCCCCTCCCACCGACTGTGTGGCGGCAGAAGTGTTGGGCAGTGTCTCAAGTCTTATGTGGAAAACAGTTCAACACTCATCTGTTTTACGAAGAAGTGTGATTGCTAATACCTTTTTTGTTCTCCTAGAACGACCTGTTACATCATATATTTTTTTTCTCTGAGCATGTCAGGAGGAATAGTCTTTATGCTCTCTACACAAGAGCTCTGTTTTCTATAATGAGGCATAGTTTATGCATTTATGCTAATCGGGGGCATCTAGGTGAAAACATTCTCCAGCCAAAATGTTATTAACAACTTTGAGACACTTTTTTTTTCATCAGCATTTTTTAAGGTTTCACACAGATGCGCTTTGAAAAGGACCACATTTCTGATTGGGCAAGATCACACTCCATGGCAGCTGGTTCATTTGCCTCTCAAGATGACAGATGGCAAAACACAAACACAAAAAGAGGGAGCCATGATCAAGTAATGAGAATGCCTGCCACAATAAAGAAACTACTAAACGCACTTTTCTCACTTTCCCTGGCAAATTTTTGCTTTGCTCTATGAATGCAAGGGGTGGAAAAAGAAACATAAAATCTTTTTCTTTTTCTTTTTTACAAAACTATGCTATCTGCTTTGTAAGCAAGTGAGCCCAAAGCATTTTGAAAATGTTAAATGCCGGTTTTATTGTGTTGCAGCAATCTACTAAATCTCTTTTCATTTACTGTTTTGATTTAAACACACTGTTAACAACTCTGAAGTAAGGTGAGAGGGACAAAAAAACTTGATTTTGCCATATTTGCCTACAAAAGTGAGTTCACGACCGCAATAAATTTTTCTGAATACAGGCAAAGGAGTAACTGGGGCCCTGGCCAGTGTTTTGCCCCGCAGATGGGCAGCAGTGTTTGTGAACACCAGTGTGGCAGTTGGCAGGGATTGAGGAGGGGGATGGGCAGATTGCAATGGCACATGCTCCAATTCAAATTATCCCTGGACCCATGCAGCAGTGGAGGACCTGCTGGGGCCCAGGGTGGCATTCATTATAACCAGACACAGGCAGGTTTGGTCAGTGCCTCCATCATGACACCAGTCCTAAAAACGCATCTGATTGGAACCCCCTTTTATTCACATTTCACCTGCTTTAACAAAATGTAACAGCATTTGTATGCATTTACCACAAATTATCATTGAGTATTGAGGATTTATCTAAATAAATGTCAAAGACTGAATGGCAACAAGACACTGAATGATATAAACACTGTAAATCCGGTAAATGCAAACGGGTAAAAATCAATGAGGTTATCAAGGTGACAAGAAAAGCATCTGATGAAGAAGCAGCACGACAAAATGACAAGACCATTAACACGTGAATTAAATGAATGCAACTCGATTATACATCAGATGTCTTTTTACAAGGATTAAATGTTTTCATTTGAGGTCTGTTTAAAGCTGCCATGTAGCCTACAGTACAGCGGGTGTTTGTAATCTGATGGGAAGTTTCCAATTATCTCTCTAATTACATCTGTATTACTGCATGAAAAATGAGCTTTCTGGCATTTGGAATGCTGCTAAAGAGTTGGAGAGCAAATCTAAAGACTGAAAATGCAATGATCTACATTATTGCTAACAACTACTGCTCTTCCTTGGGCATGGTGAAGTTAATTAGCAGATTAGGGTGTTGGTGTATAATATCCCACACCACCCTGGGTAATATTGGCCCATGCAAGAAATAGCTCATTTTTAAATAAAAGTCAGGATTTATGTGCTATTGTCAAAATCAATCACATTTGAGCTTATATCTTACATCAATGAAAGTTAAAAATGCCCATAGGGAATAAATGTTAATAGGCGTGTTGACATAAAAGTGTTATGTAGCCTGCCGAGACCAATCCACCA